ATCCCTGGCTGGCATACAAGAACCATTTTGGTGGCTTTTGTTCTCTTGCCTTGTTCTTGCCACTATAAGAGTTAATAAACATTAACACTGTAAAGTGTTAAAGGTAACACTGAATGGTGTGGACACATATAGACACCATGCAGTGTTAATTTAACACTGGCACATTTGCTGTGTACACAGTCTCACAGTGTCAATAAAATAATCTTTTAGGAAATACATATCAAACTATAAATAACTATGAGTTAATTTAAGAAGGATACTTATTCACCTTAAAAGTGAATGACCACAGTATAGATTACAAATACTAAGTATCAGCCTCAAATTACAGTCTCTAATTTATATAATTAATCCCCAGCAGGTTGCTGTTTATGCTGCTACTATTTATTTCTTACTGCCTGCACAACAAAAACAATAAAATCTGTCTCTTTGTAAAGCTTCTTTAAACCATATTCAATGGGCTCACCTTCAGTTACACCCCACAGGATGAAGGTTGTGGAAACCATGATCTGTGGAACTGTAACATGTGAACAGTGACTCAACAGAGTTTGTCTGCTTTCATCTATGGACAGAAAGTAGAACGAAATTTAACTACATGCTGTTTAAAATTATTTTCATACAAAGTTTAATGTTCTACAGCCATCCTCAGATGGTCATTCTGCTGCATGCTCACCTGCAGACACCCAGGACAGACTGTCAGTCTCACCAGATGCAGCTTCTGCTTTATTTTAGTATAATTTCAGTGAGGACATCAGCTTTGGTTCATTGTTTTGGTATGCAGGGGTTTATAGTAATAAAACTTTCTGAAATTACTCATATTCACACATATGTGTTTGTTACTAGACACAGGATCAAAGTGTGTTAATTACATCACAGTTAAGCCCTGCAATGGACAGGCACCCTGTGTAGATACAGTCCTGCCTGATGCCCCATGTCTGCTGAGATGCCCTTTACAGGATAAGTGGCTGCAAACATGGATCCACTGATGTCATTAAGAACATAAGAAATTAAAATTACTAGAAATGACAGAGCAGATGCTACACTTACCTCCCCTTGTTAAATGCCTGACAGATAAAGCACCAGTAAGTAGGACTACAGGTGTGACAGCGATGCACAGCCCCAGAATCAGCCAATGCAAGGAGGAATAACCTAAAATATTCAGAATTACATTTCATTAGTCATTTTCTAAAATAGGCAGTTTGTCATGCTGCAGCATAATCAACACGTCCACACCATTTAGTCTCACAAAGTGGAGCAGAAATTTATGAACAAATCTTTGTCTATAAGTGTGTAAGTCCTAATTGTCTCTAGTCTGAAAACACATAGATTTAATATACGGTGGTACCTCAGTTCTCAAACTCATTAAAACTCAAATTTCTTAAAAGTCGAACCAACCAGTTCGAAAAAAAATCACCTATAATTCGATCTGAATCTCAGAAGTCGAACCGTTAACGCCGACCTAAGAACTTGTACGCGCAGGGAAATGAGTCATTTTTTTGGGGCCGGGAACCAATTAATTGGTTTTCCATTATTTCTTATGGGGAGAAGTCGATCAGAACTCGAACTTTTTTGGATTCGATCCGGAGTTTTGAATGGATTGATTTCGAGTTCTGAGGTACCACTGTATAAGATTTTTCATATTCCCATATATGATTTGGATATATTTACACAACGTGTTGCAAAGGGCTTTTTAACTGTATTTCCCAGTCACATGATGTAATGTACAGTTAATAAAAATTACTGCATTTTCTCTCAGTCACACTCTCATGGTCTCTGTAGCTCCTCAGTGAATGTTAATAATAAAACCATAATTACACATTACACTGCACCACTCTAATAAAATACTTGTTATGATAGAGCTGAAAACTGCACTAAAGCTGAAGCCTGAAATAAATATTAATTCATTCATTTAATGCATTTTGTGTCTTTAAAACTGAACTAAATTTCACTATTTCTGCTGTTACACTGAGCAGATTAAACCCTATGGTATGTGCAACATAGTTTTGGTCAGTCTGCTGCAGAACAACTGAGACTTGAAAATGTGATTTAATCACCCAAAACTATGTTGAGATTCCTGTTAAAACCAGTCCTTCTAGTGACTCACCCAGTGCTGCTATCCTAGCAGTTGTATTGGCAGAATCAGTATCTGAGTGGACTTCACACCTGAACTCTCCTTTGTCTTCAGTCCTGACTTTCCTCAGTTTCATTGAGAAGTTTCCTTTAGGAATTTTCTCAGTGAAGAATTCAGCTCTTCCAGAGTATCTCCCATCCTGTGACTCTGGTCTGTTCTCTCCATCATCATACAGAAGCACCAAGATGCCCCCATCGTCTGTCTTTCTCCATTCCACCTGAAGTTCTGTCATATTAACATGGGTGTCCACAGAGCAGCTGAGAGTAACATCCTCTCCAGCATGTGCATAGACAGGCTCATCTGCACCCGTCACCACCAGTCGCTCTGGAGTAAGAACAAGAATATTCACACAACCTGGCAACCTGACATCTCTGTGTTTTCCCCTCCTATTTAAAGGGGAAACATATATTTGGGGTTATTTTCATTTCAACAAACTTTTAATATTTTGACACTTTGGACATGTATGACCCATGAGAAGAATCCAGCACCACACTAAGCTTGTAGGAGTTTTGCTTACACAAAAATGTTCTGAGAACAGAATGAAAAGTGACGCTTTCCAATGTGGAAGCAGAGTATGGGGACTTGGGTGTGGACTCCCCCAGTGGCGTAGCGGACGGGCCCGCAGGGCACGCACTGCGGGGGGGCCCCGCGTTGTGGGGGGCCCCTAAAAAATTGACTCGAATAAATAATTAAAGCGTTTTTATAACGTGAATGTATAGGACTTTTATTTTGGTAGTAATTGCAGCCTACCGTGTTTGGCGATTATGAATATCGCAAAATGAGTAAAAGAAAATATGTCAGCGGAGCTCAAAAACGGACTAACCAACACCGAAAAGAGCAATTCAATGCAAAACTACCGAAAATTTCATCCATATTTCTTCCAAATCAGCGGGAAGGAGCTGCAAGAGCGAGCACGGGTAACGTTACTCAGGAGTTTGCTAGTAGTGTCATCACGGACATTACTGCTTCTAAGGTGGGCGCGGGCGCGGCTGTGGTGAATGATACGCCAGACACGGACTCAGATGCTAAAAGCAGATCTCACGGTCCAGACGATGACTGTCACAGCACTGAAAATATTACAGAGGAGGCGACAGCAAGAAGTACACGGTATCCAACAGACAGAGCAAACTTTCCCGTTGATTTAACCGATGCCAGTGTGAAGAGGGCCATACTTAACATGGGACCATGTAAACCAGAAGGACCCTATCCCCGAGACAAAAATGGCAGATGTTTTTCGAAAGATTATTATTTAAAACGTTCTAAAATGGGAACGGTTCCTCGGAAATGGTTGTGTTACTCGCCAAACATTGACCGCGCCTAAATACGAAATAATTACATACTATTAAATTCCACAGTACTAATTCACGATTTTGAATGAAAAGGTGAATCCCCCATCTAATTATGCGGTGAAGGGCCCCACCTCCACTCTTGCGGGTGGGCCAACGCAGTTTGCGCTACGCCACTGGACTCCCCTATTTCATGGGCGGAGATCGCTGAGGTGGTTAAAAAGCTCCTCAGTGGCTGGGCCCCAGGGATGGATGAGATCCGCCGGAGTTCCTTAAAGCTCTGGATGCTGTGGGGCTGTCCTGCTTGACACGCATCTGCAGCAGCGCGTGGACATCGGGGGCAGTGCCTCTGGATTGGCAGACCAGGGTGGTGGTCCCCTTCTTCAAGAAGGAGGACCCGAGGGTGTGTTCCAACTATAGCGGGATCACACTCCTTAGCCTCCCTGGTAAGGTCTATTAGGGGGTTCTAGAGAGGAGGGTCCACCGGATTGTCGAACCTCGGATTCAGGAGGAGCAGTGTGGTTTTCGCCCCAGCCGTGGAACAGTGGACCAGCTCTACACTCTCCGCAGGGTTCTGGAGGGTTCATGGGAGTTTGCCCAACCAGTCTACATGTGTTTTGTAGACTTGGAGAAGGTATTCGACGTGTCCCTCGGGGAGTCCTGTGGGGGGTGCTCCGGGAGTATGGGGTACCAGGCTTCCTTTTAAGGGCTGTTCGGTCCCTGTATGACCGGTGCCAGAGCTTGGTCCGCATGGGCGGCAATAAGTCGGACTTGTTTCCGGTGAGGGTTGGACTGCCCTTTGTCACCGATTCTGTTCATAGTTTTTATGGACAGAATTTCTAGGCGCAGCCAGGGCATCGAGGGTGTCCGGTTTGGTGACCTCAGGATTAGGTCTCTGCTTTTTGCAGATGATGTGGTTCTGTTGGCCTCATCGGACCGTGACCTTCAGCTCTCACTGGGACAGTTCGCAGCCGAGTGTGAAGCGGCTGGGATGAGAATCAGCACCTCCAAATCCAAGACCATGGTCTTCAGCCGGAAAAGGGTGGAATGCTCTCTCCGGGTCGGGGATAGGGTCCTCCCCAAAGTGGAGGAGTTTAAGTACCTCGGGGTCTTGTTCACGAGTGGGGGGACGATGGAACGGGAGATCGACAGGCGGATCGGTGCGGCGTCCGCAGTGATGCGGGCGCTTCATCAGTCTGTCATGGTGAAGAAGGAGCTGAGCCAAAAGGCAAAGCTCTCGATTTACCAGTAGATCTACGTTCCTACCCTCACCTATGACCACGAGCTGTGGATAGTGACCGAAAGAACGAGATCGCAAGTACAAGTGGTCGAAATGAGTTTTCTCCGCAGGGTGGCTGGGCTCTCCCTTAGAGATAGGGTGAGGAGCTCGGTCATTCGGGAGGGACTCAGAGTAGAGCCGCTGCGCCTCCACATTGAGAGGAGCTAGATGAGGTGGCTCAGGCATCTGATTAGGATGCCTCCTGGACGCCTCCCTGGTGAGGTGTTCCGGGCATGTCCCACTCGGGGGAGACCCCGGGGAAGACCCAGGACACGCTGGAGGGACTATGTCTCTCGGCTGGCCTGGGAACGCCTCAGGATTCCCCCAGAGGAGCTGGATGAAGTGGCCGGGGAGAGGGAAGTCTGGGTCTCCCTGCGGAGACTGCTGCCCCCGCGACCTGACCTTGGATAAGCGGGAGAAAATGGATGGATGGATGGTTCAGAAAGATAACCAATCAGACTGTAGGGGAGGTGGGTCCAAGACATCTGACTGGTTGGTCCCACCTCTTCTAGTTGCTTGGACTCGCCTCTTCTACAATCTGAGTGACAATCGCTACATAGCAAGAAACACAGAGTTCCATTGTGTGTCATGTGGTAATACAAAGCCGAGCCCAAATTTTTCCCTTACAAAGGCAGATGGTTTTGGGCTTCGTTTAACCCAGTTCCACAGATAATAATAATAATACATTTTATTTATATAGCGCTTTTACTAGAATTCAAAGACGCCTTACAGAGAAAGTACACAGAAAACAGATTACACATTATACATATGGAAGGTTAAATGCCTTAGCAAAAAGAAAGGTTTTTAGCTTGGTTTTAAAATCTGAAACAGTGGTCAACAAACGGATGGCAGTAGGTAGTGCGTTCCAAAGGCGGGGAGCTAAACGGCAGAATGCACGGTCACCATAGCTATGTAATTTTGAAGGGGGGATGAGGGGAGAGCCAGTAGAAGAAGATCTAAGACTGCGGGGAGGCTGGTAGGGTAGAAACAAATCAGTAAGATATGATGGACCTTGATTATTAAGAGCTTTAAATGTCAGAAACAGCATTTTGAAGTAAATGTGCTCTTTTATGGGGAGCCAGTGCAGGCTCTGCAGAACGGGTGTGATGTGTTGATAGGAACGAGTGTGAGTAAGGAGGCGGGCAGCAGAGTTCTGAACTATCTGAAGTTTATGAAGAGATTTAGCAGAGATACCAGCGAGTAGTGAGTTACAGTAGTCAAGACGGCTAGAGATAAAGGTATGAATTTGGGACTCGGCAGCAGAATTTGAAAGGTATGGCCTGATACGGGCAAAGTTACGAAGGTGAAAGTAAGCTGTTTTTACTATGCCACATAGCTGTGCGTCAAATGAGAGGGTTGGGTCAAAGGTGACACCAAGATTTCAGACCAGAGGAGATGGAGAGATGGTAGTGTGGTCCAATTTGAGGGTTATCGGGCTAATTTTGCAAAGTGTGGATTTTGTACCAAAGACAATTAGTTCAGTCTTATCGCTATTAAGTTTTAAAAAATTTTGGCTCATCCATAATTTCATTTCAGGTAGGCAGGTTTCTATATGTGCAAGTGGGAGCGTGTTTATGGATCTGGAGCTAACATAGATCTGGGTGTCGTCGGCGTAAAGATGAAAATTTAGATTAAAGCAGCGAATGGTCTGGCCTAGAGGGTGAATGTAAATGATGAAGAGCAGTGACCCCAGGACAGAGCCCTGGGGTATGCCACTTGTGACAGCTGATATGTCTGATGTCTGACCGGATAGGGTAATAAAATGTTTTCTGTCTGTGAGATAGGAAATAAACCAGTTAAGCGCTGCCCCACAAACTCCTAGATTGTGGAGTCTCTGGATAAGAATGGCATGTGAGACTATATCAAAGGCTGCGCTTAAATCGAGCAAAAGAAGGAGGTGTATGGCACCAGTATCAGTTGCAACTAACAGATCATTTAAAACTTTAACTAAAGCGGTTTCTGTGCTGTGGAATTGGCAAAAAACAGACTGAAGTGGTTCAAAGAGACTATTGTTTTGCAAGAAGGAAAGGAGCTGAGTATAAACTAAACATTCCAGTGTTTTAGAAAAGAAAGGAAGATTAGAGATTGGGCGATAGCAAGGTTAGATAGGTCAAGGCTGGGCTTTTTAAGGACGGGGGTGACGGCTGCTACTTTGAAAGTGGTGGGAACTTGACTGTGGGCTAGGGATAAATTGAACAGGGTGCTCAGGAAGGGAACAAGCACCGAGAGACATTTCTTAGTTAGAGGTGTAGGAAGAGGGTCTAGTGAGCAAGTGGCAGAATTAGCAGCAGAGATTATGTCATGGACCTCAGACACATTGACAGACGAAAAGTTAGTCAGAGAGCTAGTTGGAGCTGGAACACTACAAGGAGAAAAGAAGACTGGATTAGCATCTGAGTGGTTTCTGTCCAGAGAAGCAAAAATAGCAGAAATTTTGGAATCAAAAAACTGAAGGAAGGCATTGCAGCTTTCCGTAGTGGAAGAAATGTTATGGCCTGGGGGCTTGAATAATTTTCTGACAGTAGAGAACAGGATGTGTGGGTTCTTATTATTATTGTTTATGACACTAGAATAGTAAACAGATTTAGCATTTTGTAAGGCATCCTTGTAACAGGCCATATGTTCTTTGTATGCTTCAGCTTGGACAGAAAGGTGAGTTTTCTTGAGTAGTCACTCAAGTTCTGTTCCATGCAACACAGCTCAGGAGAATACCATGGGGCAGGGTTAGCAAAGGAGACCAGTTTGGTGTTCAAGGGGGC